AAAGGGAGTTGAGTGGGAGTTGGGTGTGAGCGTGTGCGTGTGCGTGTGTGTGTTTAGCTCTCACCCCTGCTAATTGGCCGCCTCTGGCTGTTGCGTAATCAGCCTCAAAGGCCAGCATTGGGGGTGGTTGGGCTGGAGAGCTTAGCTGACGTCACAAACAAGCGAAGCTCGAAACCGAAGCACTCAAAATATCCCATTTATTTGAACTCTCAATTCAGATTGCGATAAGCCAAACGCAGTATAGGGTAATCAAGCAGCAAAGAGACCAACGTGTGCAACAGTTGCAATAGCTAAGCAATAGATGCGACTGACAAATACCTTGTAAAATGCAAGGAATTGTTAAATGATGCTAGAGCTGTGCTGTTTGATTGAGAGAACCAGTTTTGGTGCAGATCTAAGCTAGAAATTTTTTTTTATATAATGCTTTTCAGAAGCACGGTTACTACATACCCTGTAAGCATAGCGAAGTATATTAGGCAGCTTGAAATCTTGTTTGATTAAATTTGTTCGTATTTTGTGAACATTTAATACTACTTGTTAAGAAAAAGTCACTCTACTCGACTAAGAGATACCCTGTAAATATGAAAACTTTGCATTTCCCAATTATCGTAAAACAAATGCCGTCTAAAAATGATATTAAAAATTCATATTGTTCTTATTTCTCTTAAAAATTTACTTTAAGCGACTTAAAATACCCTGTAAATGGGAAAATGTAGAAATTTTTATGGAGTTCACTTAAAGCAGTTGTAGATATGAGTGAATATTGTTGTCTAGTCATATATCAGCTACCCTTCACATACCCTGTATTTCATAAGCATAGCAACAGCTTGACTTACCTTCGTTACATTTAACACAATCTATTTTCACTTTGATCTCTTTGCGTAACTAGGCCTTAAATTCTTAAATGTTTACATAATCACACACAGACAGACACAGAGACACACACACACATACGCACACAGACACACACACACTTACAGGGTATACAAAATGCAACACAATGAATTGTGTTTGTGTCGCAAGTCGAATCCCAGCCAATTGGCAACTTCATTATTATTATTATTTTTTTTTTTTTTTGCGCTCGGCAGCGCCATCGACGCAGGTTAATAAATCTTAAGCTGCGACACAGGGCAAAAAAACAGTAAGAGAAAATGGAAAAGTCTGCAAGGCGAGAGGCGAATGGATGGTGCAGGGTGGAGAAGGGAAAGCGACGACAGCGTCTAAGCCTATGCAAGTGGAGTTCATTACAAATCGTTTGTCAGCTTAGGGCAACTGCTGCGTGGCTTTTGGCCACTGAAGGAGCGGGCGGGGCGGGGCGGTGCGGGGCGAGGCTGTGTCTGCCTCGGTCTGCCGCTGTCTGACTGCCTTGGCTGAGATTTAATGCCTGAAACGTTTTTAATTCAATTTGCTGGCTGCGTGTCTCGATTATTTTTTTGGCCACTGATAATGCTAATAAGGATAAGCGGCAGTCGCTCGGGGCTACTTAAGCGCTGCCTGCATTATGCCAGCAGACTGCCATGCCATGCCATGCCGTGCCACTACCATCCTTCAAATAGCCCACCCACACATAGGTAAAGGCAGACATTTTTCGAGTGCTATCCAAAGGCCTGGGCCAGCAACATTTTAAAACTGAGCTACGCAACAATTAGCATACACACACACACACGCACACACACATGCAGGAGCGTAAAATCCGCTTTTGTGTTAGCCCCCAAATCATGGGGCAGGATAATGGATTTAATGAGTTTATTATTCGGTTGCAGTAGACGCATTTTCGCTGCATTGTTCGTGGCCGAGCTAATAGCCGCCACAAGCGCACCTCRCTGCCACCTCGATGGAGAAGCAGCTGCTGCTGCTGCCCCACGCACAATGCACAGCAAATGCCAAAGCCAAAAACTGGCCAGCCGCCCTCCAGTCACGCCCACAGTTTTGCAGTTGTCTATGTGAGAATCGAAAATCGTAATTGCGTATATTACCTAGGGTCGCTCGAACATGGGTTAAGCATATATGTGCATATGCACACAAATATCCATTTATATATATGTATGTATGTATGTATGTATGCATACATGCATATGTCATTACGTATGCCTCATGCTCGGCAAGCGCCTTTCGCTCTTTATTGTTGAACATTTTATAGAGTTTGACAGAATTAACAGAAATTAAATTCGCTGATTTTTTAATATGATATATTATTATCATATACATACATATGATATATACATATATATATATATATTAAAGATTATATAGTATACCTATATGAAGGCATTTCATAGATCCGTATGCTGATATAGCCATACTTATCTGGCATATTTATATGCCTTTAACTTGTGCTGGAATTTGTTATAGAGCTCATAGCGGTATTTTAATTTTGTTATGAATTATGTCTTGGGCATAGATAGAGTTGTCTTAGAGCGTATATACATATATATATATATGTCTTATCTATATGAAAAGTCTTTGAAATCAAGCACTGTCTTCCTGTTTCCATATAAACAAAGAAACCTCTAAGCATAAACAATAAATGGAATTTCGTTCATATAAAGATGTGATGTGAAAAACAGAATTTTAATATAATAGTAAAAAAGTAATAGTGATATAATAGTATTGTAATATATCGTAAAAAAATAGTTAAATTTAAAATTAAATTCCATTATATTCTATGTTAAATTTTGCCTAAAAGTAATATTACCTAATAGTAATATATTGTAAAAAATAGTTAAATTTAATATAAAAAGAATTTTATTCCAAGTTAAATTTTTGCCTATATATCATTATATGTAGAATCACTGCCTCAAGTCTAGAGTATATAGATTTCCACTTGTCACAGTTAGTTCATCTTTCTTGTCAGGTTGATATACTTTTTTTTTTTAATATTTCATATATATGTAT